GCACAAGTTACTCAAGGGTGATGTTTAAATTACTTAACCACTGATCTGGCCAATTAGAAATATCCTGCTAGAGAAGTGCCCTTGGACTCCTCGTAACGTTGGGGGCATTAACTGCTTAGTTGCTGAATTGTGGAAAGGTCTGGGGGCACCAGAGAATGGCCAGGGTAACAGAGAGGGGCACTCTGGGTATTCAGAGCTGCAATTATTTACCAACTGGTAAGGACCTCTATTTAAATAGTTTAATAACCAGAACTGGTATACAGGTGCTGGCCACAGGGTAAAGAAAGGGAGGCATTCTGGCCTCTGAAAGAATGCAGATTGAGGATTGCCCTTGCAGCCCCTGGCCACTCACCCTCAGGCCTGCTTTGTCCTGCCCTGGAGATTCTATTGGTGGCTTTTCCCTTGCAACCAACAGGGTTAGTGGCTGAGGAGTACTCAGTTGGCAAAGAGGTCCTGAGCCCCCACTGTACATTTGGCACTTTCTGAGTCTTGTGGAGGTTACACTGAGATCCCTTTGTGCTGGGAGCCAGGCAGACACAAATCATCCAGAAGGACCCTTGTGAGTGTGCAGGACTAGCCAGTATGGTAGACAGCAGACAAATGGGTTAGGTCTTCTAGAATTTCCATGGCCTCACCATTTTCTCAGTTAAAAATACATATACGGATACTTACATAAATGCAGTGGAGGAAATAGGTAAAGATCTTATTTTCTGAATTGGTTTGAGAATATCCTAACTTTTGGTTCTGGATTTGAGGGCAACTTTGGAGACAGCTGTGTATCTTTCTTAGGATCTGTGGTTAACTGTCTCCCCATTCCCTGCCCATGTCCTGCTAGGCAGAAGTATCTTTTCTGGTGTAGGCTTGGGAGCTGAGGACAGAGGGATCTAATTCTTACCACAGCCTATACCCCAGGACAAAGTCTTCAATCAGGAGCTCTGGAGGTGTTCTCTAATGATCTTCCTGCCTGAATTCTTGCCAGGTAAGGGCCAAGAAGGACTAGCAGCTACATATGAGCAGCTTCTCTGCCCCAATTTCCCCAGCCTTGCTCTGGCTCTGGTCCTGGCCTTCTCCTTCCCCATTCTGACAAGTGGCTAACTTTTGGAAAAAGGAAGAAGACTGCTGAGTGTGTGCCCACCAGGATGAAAAGGGATCAGGGTTCAAGGGGTAGCCCTTTTGCGGGACCTGATGCCCTGCCCGAGGCCCCTCACAGCCACTGGCCTAGCTTGGAAAGGGTGGCTGCCTGTTTAGTGCCACTGTTTTTATAAGCTAATGAGGGCAGAGTGTGAGCCACGGGCAATGATGCTGGGATATTAACTGTGACAGGAAGCTTGATCATAATTATCTTAACGAGGATAGGGTTAATTACAGTGGAAACTTAAAAGTTCTCTCTGTTTGAATCCGCTGGAGCTGAATGTGTTGTGATGTTTTGTCATCTTGAGATGACTTTGGAAAAGGCACTGGGACTCTCCCGGCAGCCGCAGCGGCTCCTGGGGGAGTCCAGCCAGAGCCCTGCACATGAGTAACTGAGATGGTACCTGTGGGTGAGATAATGGGCAGCTTTCCTGCTGGTGCAGCGGGAGGCACACAGCCTGCAATGTGCTTCCGAGGTGCTGATTAGGTTTCCAGAGCAAACCACCTGCCACACAGAGCGAGCAGTGCAGACTGCACACTGGTCTCCCTGCCTGCCCTTGGCGGCTCTTAACTAGGCTGGGAGGATCTCTCTCCAGCTGGCTGTGCCGAAGGAGCAGCTGAAACCTTGCCCTTCCCCTCCAGCCCCCAACCACGGCAGACATACCTGCCTCTCCTTCCCAGCCCGCCCCTCACATACCTGCAGGCACTACCAACCAAGCTGGTGAGTAACCCCAGAGTGCTGTCACCCCTTCCTGCAGGGCTCATCAGGCTGGGGTACATTTTGCTGTCCACGTGCAAGGTTACAGCAGAGAAATTACAGCGCTGTCATCTTTTCCTTGTAGCTACCATAGCTGTTCCATTAAACAGCATAGATCTTGTGGCTCCTTAAAGCCTCTCTGCCTTGTCATTTTATTTAACAGCGCATATCTATTTGCAGGCATTTTGAATATAGGGGTATGAACTCAAAGATTGGTGCGAATAATTTCTTTCCCCTGCTCTTTCCAGGAAAACACAACAATGGCAACAACAAAAGTAAATTTTTTTCAAGTAAAACATAAAACCATCTTCCAGGTGTTGGTTTATTGGCCTCCACATTCTGGCTGAGCCCCAAAATCCCATCCCCTCCGGTTTTACCCTTCAGTAATCTCTTCGCCTCCTGTCCCCAATCCCTTATTCCTGTATCTAGCTAATTAAATCACCAAGGACACAGCACACTCATGACATGAAGACAGGGATTTAAAATTAGCAGTCCCTCTGCCATGTAACATGGTTGCCTTTTAACTGAGCAGCTAATAACATTAAATGGCAAAAGGAATCTCAAAACCAGACAGGTGATAGGGGATTTGAGCTGAGCTTCCTAGCTCCCCTCTGAGGTCTCACTCCACAAGCCTAGTCTTGGGCTCTGCCTGCAGCCCGCCCCAGGAGAGAAAGGCGGTCTCGGTGGGCACTCCCCCTAGTGTCCCTGGCTTTGTCCCTTTTCATGCTATGTCATTTTGTTTTATGCCTCCCCCAAAGCACTCTTGGAAAGGAGCTTTCTTCTGCTTGCCAGTTGCCAACTGTTTGCTGATTCTCATGATATGAGTATTTGCATAACATAACTTGAGAACAATGTGTATTTGGATGCTGCCTCTGACCAGAACCCAACTGATGTTTGTGCACAAAGGACTTATTAGCCATCCATAAGGTGCCCTGATGGGAGGTGGCCTCAACTCCCCTTGTGGTAAGCAGAGCCTAGTTCTGCAAAGCACTTTGGGATCCTCACTCATTAACCCTGTGGAGGAAGGGAGTTTGGAAAAAGTCGAAGTCTCCCTGCAGAAGGCAGACTTGCTGCTCACTTTCATGCATATGTTCATCTGCTCACTCTCTGCATCCCGAACAACCCTGCCCCCACAAGTCAGGGCTTCCAGGAGAATCAGTGAATGAAAGGAAGAAGAAAAAAGGAACAAATAGAAGCTGTCAATCTTCTTTCACTTATGCTCTATAAGATACTATGAGTTGGAATCAACTCAGAACAAGGCTGTTCAGATGGGCTATTGTTCCAAAATTCACACTGCAAGTAACTAGTGGAGCTGATGCAACATTCCAGACCTTCCTGAGTCCAGGTGTGTAAGTCATGTTTTCCTCCTTGAAACATGGAGAAGATGAAAAAGGAGGAGGAAGAAATGAGATATAATGACTCCACTGGCCCTTAACCTGAAATGTTTTAGGCTTTGCCCCCCTGCTGCAGAGCAGGTAGTGTTGGCTGTAGGAAGACACACGGTCAGGGTGCTGGGCCCTGGGTGGGACCCTCCTGAGGGTCAGGCAGAAGTGGGACATGCTGGTGGAGCTCTGGGCCCAGTGGAGTTTGGGGATTTAATCACTTATTCACAATGCATATGTCATCTCCCAAGTACTGACTCTGTTTTGGAGTCTTCTTGGCAGAGGTCCCACAGGAAGATGCAGATGCCTTGAGAAAGTTCTTTTGCTAAAGTTCACACCCACACCAGATGCACGGACATTGCACACGCAGGCAGGTGGGTCTGTCATGTACATGCTATCAGTAAGTGAATAAATAGTGTAGACAACACCTCCCTGATTTGTCACATTTTATAGCCTAACCAGGAGATCCCACGTGAGCCCGCCCTCTGGTTGACGTCGGAGCTCAGCTGTCAGCCTGTGCAAACTCAGCACGACTCTTGGGTCTGGCAGGTGACTGAGTGGGGAGTATGTGATTCTGTGTATGTCCCTCCACCGGGTGGCTGTCTTTAATTAACATCTGTGAGTGCCAGGGCCAGCACAGGCATACTGTGGCCCCTCACCTCCTCTACCCCCAATACTCCAGAGCCCACGTGAAGAGTTAACTTTCAGCTAAATGCATAAACACAGCTATCTCTCCTTTTCTAGTGTGTGTGTGTGTTATATATATATATATATATATATATATATATATATATATATATATTTTTTTTTTCCCCTGAGCTGGGCACTTAATTCTTGCAGATGCCTGTTTATTTACTGCTTTGACATCTACATTGCTGCAGTCGACACTTCCTTCAAAAATAAAGCGAGAAATCCACTTTCCATAAATTAAAACAGTAACTTCAAGCCAGGAGCATTGAAACAGAAATTTCCCCAACCTCACCCCTTTCCCCACCTCCCACCCTCACCCTCCAAAGAAAAAGAAATCATGAAAGAAAAAGAAACAGCCCTCTTAGACCAGGGTGATTATGTGCTTCCTAGATGCCTTGCCTTTTGGGGGCAGCCACGGGGACACTGGGCAGAAGCAAATTAAGTGATTAGTGAATAATAAAAAAAAAAAAGCAGAGGAAAAAAAGTCATAGGAAGGGAATGAAGAGAGAGGATGCCTTCCTTGCTGTTTCCTACAACTGTGCAGAGGAGAACCGCTAAGAAATGATACTTGAAGTTATATTTATTATTGTAAGAGGGGTATGATATTTCTGGGCAGGAATGATGGATGACAACTTAAATTTGTGTCCAGGGAATGAAGGTGAACTGTGACAGAGTTATTTATCTTGGGAATGGAGGTTAGGGTCAGCCCAGGCTGGGTGCCTGAAGGCACAAGACATTGACAAATTTATCCTGCAGGCCGTATCTGAAGCCCTTTGTTTTGGATCCTGGCTACTCACTAAGTGACCCTCATCCTTCATGTTGGCAATGCGTGAAGGATGCGGTGAGTGCCAGCGGCCCCTTCTCCCCCGCCGCCCCCGCCCCGGCTCCCGCTACTAATTCTTGTCATTCACTTTGCTGACAGGCACCAAGCCCAAACTATTCCCAGTCCTGAAAGGGAAGGTTAAAATATTTATTTCGGCTCATAATGGCCTCCCTGATTTAGTGCAGGATCATTTTTCCTGTTGCCTTTGTCATTGCAGGTCACTGGAAGGACTGAGCGCGTTCAGGAGCCTGGAGGAACTCATCTTGGACAACAATCTGCTCGGGAACGACCTCGTGTTGCCAGGGTTACCCAGGCTCCATACCTTAACCCTCAACAAGAACCAAATATCCTTGGCCCTGCTTGCTGCCCCCACGCCCCGCTCAGCCCCGCAGTGGTCCCCTCCCGCTCACCAGCTCTCCTCCCCTTCGCCACACAAATATCTGCGAAATGTCAAATGAGTTTTATGTGTCAGCTAAATTAAAGTATGTGAAATACAGTCCATGGGCAGACAAAGCGTTCTGTCTCCTGGCACTCGGGACACTTCAGAGTAATTTATTATAGGTCATTCATAAATGAAATGCACCATTATATCTTCCTGTTGCTCCATTTTAGTGTAGAGATCTAAGTTATGGCTGTGAAGAAATCTTTTTAATAGATAAAAATAGAGAAAGAAAATAGTGTCACTGCTGCCAAGAAGGCAAATCTGGGTTCTGTTTGCTTGGGCTTGTGTTGGAGGGCGGCCTCTGGTGGGCAGTAGAGGGTAATGCTGCTGAGCAAACAGCCTTTGCAGAGGTTTCTGGAAGGCTCTGTTGCAGGCTTGGGCAACAGTTCTGGTGAAGGAGACAGGGGAAGGGGCTAAGGTGGATGATAAGTGGGAAACCAGGGCCTAGCTCTGTCTTTCATCATGTTTATCATAGGAAGATGATGAGAGAGGCCTACGACACCAGTCTAGTATATGCCCTCTTCTTAAGTTGGTGAGATGAGACTCAGACTAGTTGCTCTGGATTCCACGGTGAGGCTGAGAATGGAATCAGAACTTTTCTGCAGCATAAGGCATATAGTTCTTCTTATTTTAGAGTTGTGGATCTCCACCAATGGCAGCTCAGCGAGGCAGGGAGCTTTCTCAGTATGGTTAACCCCTCTATCCACATCTAGAATAATGCCTGGCACAGAGTTGAGGTTCAGTAGCTGTAGGATAAATGAATGAATCATTATCATCAGCTGTTCTTTACTGAGCATTCCTATGGGTCAGGCACTGTGGCGAGTAACTTTAAGTATACTACAGGACAGGGAAAAAGTAGGTTTACAGTTGTGAGTACATGAAATACAAAGTTTATTACTGTATTATTTTTCCATATGAACAACTGCAAACATACTTTTGCCCCACACTGTATTTTTAATTCTAATCAAATGCAGTGAGAAGTGTGTAGTTATTTCTTTTACCTAGATGGGGAAAGAGGTGAAATATAGACCCACAGCCATACATTTAACAAAATGCTAGGTCCCAAATGCAATCTCAATTGTGGATGTATCCTAAGTTTTCTCCATTCTCCTGTATTGCTTTAGACTTGAAGTCCAGGCACCTGCAGTAGTTTAATCAGTTGTTCACAATCACATAGTAAGCGAGAAATAGAAAAGGGGTCAGGACATTTTCCCCTAGGCTATGGTATAAAACCAGATGCATTTGTTAAGTTTAATATAATAGACATATATGCAGATGTCAACAATTAAGAATGATTTTCAAAATAACTTATTGTTCATACTTCAAGTTATAAGTTTATATATTCTTTATTATGTAAAACGTGCTACTTATGGTTATTATTAATGGCACTTTAACAGAAGGAGAAGGCCTATAAGTAAATACAGTTTCTATAATAATGAAATGTTGATGAATTTTTTCCCTTTCATATCCTTTGGTCAACAAACTTTCCAAGTCATTGTTTCGAAAGTGTTATAGTTTGTATCTCTTGTGGCTCCATTGGCTCTCTTAGGTGACCAGTTGGAAAATATTCTCAAATCAGTCAAGAATAAAAGGATTATTGAATGAGTTTGAATGCTATGGTTTCTCCCTTGGACCACAATATTCATATCCTCCGTCCAATATCACTGTAGAGAAATGGAGTTCTTCAATATGTGTTCATGAGTCAGCTTAACCATGCTTTGCTGTGCGGCCTTGGACAAGTCATCTTCTAAGAGCCTCTGTTTATAATTTTTACCAGAATAAGTTGGATTGGATGATGATTTTATTCTCAGTATTGCTGTTACCAGAGATTAGCAGGCCTCTTGGCTCTATAATGCTGAAAGATTTTCTTTATCTTTGGTTGAGTCCTTCCCCTGCTCCATGCCTGAACCTTTCCAACCTGCAGCAATAATGCTGAGGGAGTGATGACAATGGCTTGGAGGGGAATGCAGCAGCAGGCAATGTGTAGCTTTTAGGCTGACCATTCTGTCAATGTGCTGCTGTATGGTACTTCTTTATCAGTAGATACAAAGGTCATAGCTGGCTCTCTCAGGATGCAGCACGGCTTCCTTTCTCCTCTGGACTATCAGTATGATCATGCTCATTGGCTTAATTTCCCCATACTTGACCCAGAAGTCACAGAATGAAAAACAGGTAAAAGCGGCTATAATGTCTTATGTCATCCTCTTAAACTAATAATTCTCACCCCACCTTTTTGGCTGACTTTCCTACCTAACTGAAAATACCTAGGCTCTCCCACAATTACACAGTTCCACTTTACTATTCCTACTGCTTGAAAGGCCTTAGACTGAGGTGCTATCAGTGAGCGTTGCTGCATAATAATTCACCCCAAAAGCTAGTGGCTTAAAAAAACAAACAGTTCATTGGTTTACAGTACTATAGTTTAGCTATTTGGGCAGGGCTCAGATGACAGTTCTGCTGGTCTTACCTTGGGTCACTCATGCAGCCAGTCACAATTATCTGGAAGCTCAGCTGGGGCTGGATGATCTGAGATGGCCTCGTTCAAATGTCTGGAACTGGTGCTGGTTGTTGGCTGAACTAAATGTCTCCAACAGGCTAGCACAGGCCTCTCCACACAGGAGGAGTGTTCCAAGAGCCAAATCCCAAGGTACAAGGACTTTTTAAGCCCTAATGGCATCATGTGTCTTGCTGTCCCATGGCCAAAGCAAGTCATGTACCAATTGCAGAACCAATGTGAAAGGGGGCTCTACAAGTTGTGTGAATACATAGAGGTATGATTATGTCTAACACACAGACCCTTGGTATTTGTAATAAAGGGAGACCTAGAATCAAGGGACTATTGACCTTCTAAAATGGTTAAGTATTAACTCTTTGTTATAAATTGGATCTTAATTTAAACATATTAGAAAGCTTGGTATCAAATGGGGTTCTATCTCAAGTTCTTTTGCACAGTTTGTTTTAATTTTTTTGCTTTTTAACATATGTAGAATGATTATTCACCCCCATCCCCACCCATTTTATCTGCTTTGCAAATCTAGAGTTTTCCATTTGGGTTTTACTCACAGTTAAATATGTTTATACAGAGCTTGTGTTACTGGATTCTGAGAATGTGGGTTATGGGTTTCTTTTTCTTTTAGCAAGAGGTGCTATCAGATCGTGCTTAAGAACAACAGGTTCCGAAGCCAGACTTACAGGGCTTGTATCGGGTCTACCAATTGACCACATGACTTGGACAAGTGACTTAACATCTCTATGATTTAGCTTAAGATGGGGATAATATTAGTACCTATCCCATAGGTTATTGTAATGGTTACTTTAAGAATCTCACAAATATTAAGTTATAGTAACACAGTAAGTTCTATATAAGGATTACTATTATAGCAATTATTATTATTCTACAGAATTATGTGAACTTATCTAAAGTCATTTGGGCCACATTATAACCAACATCAGAGTGTAGATTTAGAGTGCTTCTTTGACTTGTATAATATTACCCTCATATCATAAGAAACTGGGGGAGTATGAATTTTGAAATCACAGATTGTTTGTGGTGGGCTCAGTCTACAACCTAGGTATGTTAATTTTCAGCCCAGGCTCTGAAACTCAAGTTGACGGGGCTATTGCTACACAGGAAGAGGAACTAAGATGTGGGAGGAGTCAGCTGCCTGTGCCTGGCCCCACAAGGCCCTATTCCCAGCTGCAGAGGGAGCTTATGAAAGGAATTCCACATCCCAAACCCAGTGTTGGGCACATTTTTTCCCCACTTCATCACTGCCTCACTTCCTGGCTACATACCTCCTGCTTGACCTCCCACATTTGTTCTCCCAGCCCTTTGTCCCTGAGTGCTCTGTTCAGCCCTCAGCTTTGGTGCCCTGTCTTGGTATACCTAGAGTCTGGTCTTCCCAGGTGACATCTTCATCTCTTGGTTCCTAGCTTACCTTGTTTTTCTTCATTAGGTTTGTTTAGACTGGCCTGGTAGGGGCTGACTGGCCATGGAGTTGACTCCTCTCCACAGCATTCATATTCATTCATTCTCTCTCTCTCTCTCTCTCCACACACACACACACACACACACACACACACACCCCCACCCACACACACCCACACCCCGCCCCCATCTCTGTCTTTCTCTCAGGAGCATGTTCACACAATTCCTGGCTCTCCCCCTGCAGGGATGAGTACTTGATCATGGTCTCAGCCATTGTGTCTGAATACCCAACCCCAAATAATGGGAAAACTGAGATGGTAGGAAAAATGGATATCTAACCTTTCACCCACTCTTCCCTCAGAAGTGAGTGGGGAAAGAGTGACCTGTGACTTCATTTTAAATCACAGTTAATTTCTTCATTTTCTGTCACCCTGTGTGCTTCAACACATGTATGAAGAGATAGCATGAATTGTAGCACCAATGAGGAGGACATTAATAGAGATGGGAGGTACCCTGACTCAGGAAGCTGGACTAGTGTTCCCACAGCAGCTGACTGTGTCATCTCAGAAAGTCTCTGCAGCGTGTCAGAGGCCTCAGTTATGTTTTTTTAATCTATAAATTGGGTAATATACATTTCAGAGTATTGTTGAAAGATTTAAATTTATATGTGGAAAATCACTTTACACCCAAAGACTTTATGACTTCTTGGTACATTTTGCTGTTATCCAAAGCCTCAACACTTGACAAAAATTAGCCAAAATTGGAAACAACTGAGTTACCAAGCACAGCTGGATGACAGCACCTTTTGGTCTTCCACAAAAGCATGTAAGAAATTTCATTTTTCAGTATAAAATTTCCCTTTTGTGTTAGGAAATGGTGAATCATATTTCCCCAGAAATGCCATTTCCTAGGTTCTAAGTTTAAATATAGATGGTGTCATTTAGTGGCAGTGTGATCTTTGACCCCAGTTTTCTTAATTGTTGCAAAGATGTGATAATATTTCTGATGTGTGTATGAGATAATATGTCATGTAGACTGTTGAGCTAGCATTAAAAAATCCTATAGTAGGATGAGCTCTGGTTGAAATCTTCCCAGTGGTTATAAATCCTACCCTTTGACCTGGAGCTGACCATAGAGGGAAGGGTATTTTCTCACCTGGGAAACAACTTTGGACCTGTGTAACTGGCCATGATGTTGCTTTGATCTTGGGCCCTAGCAGAAAGTCTCCCTTGGCAAGACCAGCCATGGCAGCTGGACTCTGCAATGGCAGCTTTCTGTAGACAACACTAGATAATTCTAAAAGGTGAGTACTCTAGAGAAGACTTAATGAAACAAATCTGGTGTGTGCTGAGAATCCAGCTGGACAGAAATGAAACTGTGCCAGATAGCTTCAAATGTTTTTAAAAGGGGGAAAAAAAATCAACCGCAAACCCTTAGGAGAACATCTGAAAGTGTCTCCGCTGTAGTGGTCTTGATTAGACACAGATCCCAAGTTCCCTCCTTTGATTGCCTCTGGTTAGTTATCTATGCAAGTTGACAAAAAGGAATGTGATAAGTTCTATCTCAGAGCTTGAAATCAGGAAGGACAGAGCTGTGCTCATCTTTGCTGACCCAGGAGACCAAAACACCAATTAAAACTCCTTATCCCGTTTCATTCTCAAGTGGTGGTATCAAGATAATGATGAAGTTCTGGTCCACAGTGTCCAAGAAGGAAGTGCTAGTGATTCCTGCCTGGTATGGAATTGGGGAAGACCACCTGGCCGAGCTCAATTGGTCATTTAGTAGGTAGTTGAAAAGCTTAGGAAGATAGAGTAGCTTCTACCATACACAACATCTAAATGAAGCAGTCTCAAAGGCTATAGAAGTTCAGAATTCCTTGGATTTATTGGCATAGGATGGCTGAAGCTGCTTGAAGCCTTTAGACCCCTTGCCCAAGAAATGATAGAGAAATTTGAAGATGTCCACATCTCCATAGCCCCCTGCTTTAGGGCAGATCCAGATTTTGTGGAGTCTGAAACTTACATAATTTGAAGAGGCTCTCTTAAAGGGAAAGACTACATAATTGCGAATACAAAATTAGGTATGAAGATGAATGTTACTGGGAAATAAAAAATGTATCAAAGCAAATTAAAAGTTAAGTTAAAAATACCACACATTAAAATATTTAGAAAAGTAAATATTTTTATACTCACATGCATGTATAAAAACTTTTGTCCCATTTTTCCTCCAAATTCTCTTATTATTCTGTTATATAATTAAATTTTACATTTATAGAAAGAATTAAAAGACAATTATATCTAATTGAAAAGTGATTTTGTATTTTTAATAATTTTAGGGAGGTTTCTTTCAGTTTTACCACTCCTTATTGGTAATTTCGCCACTAGGTTATTGGGGAAAATTTTAGAATTATTAAGTATTCAAAAATTTTATATATTTTCTTCGTACATGAGCTGTAAGATCTTGGGAAATATTAAGTTATTGTGTGTGTGCGCACGTATACACTCAACAACTTAATCTTAAATGTTCCTTGAATTTATTAACTCATTAACCATTTCATCATCAGCTTTATGTTGGTCCCCACATGTTGTATCAGCGTGAGTATTACTGGGTGGCAGGGATATTATTGGACACCATTCCTACTGGTACTGTTGTAATAACCAGACACAGAAATGACTGCAAAACATGGAAATATATCCCACTGAATCCTAGTTAAATGCCACTTCTTTGTAAGTTCCTCTTAACAAGGTTCCTGGAATTTCCACAGCTGCTCCAAAGTTACCCAACTCAAAGTGAAATGTGGTGGAAGACATTCTAGTGAAGAAAAACAGTGATCTTAACCAATCGTGGTTTAAATAACCTGCTTTTGCAAATTTTGCAAAATATGTTACTATGTGACTCTATCGTAGGGCTTTTTTTAGGGCCCTGGAAGGGACATGTGTAAGCAAGGAGCCCTCACATGCAAGATTTTATTAGCTCTGAGGTAAATTTACATGTGAACATTTACTCAGATTAAACTGGGACTCCCTGGATGGTGACATGCTAGGTTTCCATAGTCACTCAATGTTGAGAAATGTCTGGGAGTTCAGTCCAACTCAGTTGCCCAATGTTTCCTCAACTTGAAAATATTGCCAGGTTTGAGGTCCATTCCTTCATGTTCCCACCTTCATAGAGTAGCTAAAAAATAGATGAAGATTTAAGGAGCTTGTCCCTAAGAGGGAAATAGGTTTTGGTTAGGCTTTCTATCCATAGCAGAAAGGGCTCCCCTAGGTTCTCAGGGACACTGTGTACATACATAATTTGAATCCCTCCAAATCGTTATGTCAGCACTATTTTCATAGCCCACTCTCTTGCAGCCACACAAAAGAAATACTAGGCAGGCCAGCAGGAGTGATCATTTGACTGCCTCAACCCCGCCTTGGAAATAGATCCCGGTCGTGAAGCTTCAGGATGACCTAACAGGCATGAGTCCTAGTGCTCCTTGGAGCATCTGATGGGTCCCATGTGTGGGGGAGGGGATTGGAGTAAACCTTGAAGGGAGAAACAAGGACCGGGACTGAGGCCCATGCAGGTTCAAGTCCAAGCATGGGGTATCCCACCTGATGACACTGTTGGCCGCTGAGATGCCTCTGTCAGGGTCTAGGGATAGCACTGCTAGGCAGAATAGTAATAGGACTGTTTCTTCTTCTCCTCCTTCTTTTCTATTTCCTCCTCCTTCTGAAATGTAATAATGACTTCCATTTATACAAAGATAGACCTGCTGGAAAAGCCACATTTTCCCTGAAATTGTTCACTGTCATTTTAATTGGTTTTATTTAAATTATTTTCTTAAAGAGAGTAACAATTGAACTTGATTTAAAATGTAGCAAGCATGTTTTGTCTTTATTGATGAAAAACATCAATGTTTTGACTACTAGCCACTTACCCATTGTACTTCAATCTTACCTTCTTGCTGGGACCTTCTCTTTAGTCTTCTCTACATGTCCCCATTACCATCATGCTCATCCCAGTGGCCCTTTGTGGTCATTCCTGGATGTCATTTGTTAAAAGATTTGAAGGATTGATAACTTCAACATCCTTGTCTTTGTTTAGAAAACGGGCAGGCATTGGCAAACTGAAACCCGCAGTGGATGAGTTTGCTTTGCCTTTTACGAGTTTCCCCTCTTGCTTCTGCTCTCCTCTTCTTGTCTCTGTCTTGTTCCTCCCAGGGAGCAGTGCTTGTTCTTGCATTTTATGGTCACAGAGTATGGGTATAAAGATTGCTTGATTGAACTTACTTTAGAGAATATAAGATTTAAGGAAAACCTTCAAGCTTTATCTCTGTCTGAAGGGCCATCATGTGGAACAGAAGAATACTGTATTCTTTGTGAATGCAAACAGTTAAATTTGATCAGTGGGTAGGAATTCCAGAAAGATTCAATCCCAGAGGAAAGAAAAACTCTCTGTTATGGTTGTTAGAGATAGAATGAGATACTTTGTGGTGACCCCTTGGCAGAGATGTTAGGAACTAGATTCAGACATTGGTTGGATATGGAGTTCATTCTTGTGTGACAAGTTGAAATGAAGTACAAAAAATCTGGGTAACACCCCATAGTTGCGTAACATCCTAACAGAGTAAAAGCAGCTCATTTTAAAAATTTTTTCCTTCCTCTCACAAATTCAGGTAGACCTCTGAGTCTTTGACTCTTGTGTGCTGCCTTTGTCCCTATATCTTTAGCCACCATGTGCTCTGCTCTCATTCCCTGTCAACTTCAGTCTCCTGTCATTGAGTAACACCTTTTGTCCATGGGCTCCTAGTATTCATGGCCCCTGTTCTGGTTTATCAAATCACCATCTTTCTTAGAGCTCAGTTCATATATATGTGGCTCAATTGGAGAGTTGATGTGTGAACTAGTCTTTCCCAATTCCTGTGATTCCCTGAATGTATTTGGTTTGGGGGGAGGTCTCCATGTTGCCTGGACAGCCGATTCCACTGTGGGGATGAATCACAGAATAATTTTACCACCATGCCCCTTCTTGGTCTTTCTCTTCCATTTTTTTCTTCATAGAACATGATATTCATAACAGAGCCTCAAGAAATACATTTTAACACACCTGGTTTGAGTAAACTTGTCCTAACTTGCTCTGCTCATCTTCTCCTTTTAGCTTTGTTCTCCTTTGCCCCCCAACACGATGTTTTTTCCCCCACCATTGAGTCCACTGAGCAATGCTTAGCTCCACCACAGACTCTCAGATCATAAGGAGATAGCCAGTCTCTGTTTGTGTTCATGCCATTCCTGTATGTTTTAATGATAAATTATCCCTTAAAAGAAAATTGGTATATTTTTAATAAGGCCTTTGAAAATAATGTCTTGCTTTTATTACTAGAAAAAAAATAAATTTTATGGATTTGCATACTGTAAAACATTTTACTGCATGGAATCTATCCTTCATCCTTTAAAAAAAGAAAACAGAACTATAGAGGAAAGGAAAGTGTGACAAAGCAATTTACTTTATTCATTCTCTCTCAAGTGATCTGAACTCAGCCTTACCTGTCCAGAGAAAAGCTGGTTTGTATATCCACAGGAGTGAAAAGCCAACTGTTCCAGAAACCCACAGCTAAGCTGATTTCAACCCTTACCCATGTCATCCCATGGGAGCAGTCTGGACTCATTAGCTGATAGAGCTTCCCTACCAGTTATGGTCTATTCTCCTTGTTAAGCCTTGTCTTCCTGGACTGAGATCCTTAACCTTTGTCACATCACTGACTTGGAGCGCCTGCTTGATCACCTGGCAGATGTGACACCAGCTCTGGAGTATCTCAGCCTGCTGGGTAATGTAGCATGTCCCAATGAATTGGTCAGCTTGGAAAAGGATGAGGAAGACTACAAGAGATACAGGTGGGTATCTAGGAGTTTGAGCAAAGATGCTACTTTTCCCTGCCTTGTATGGGTGCATAAAGTGTGTGCATAGCAGATGTTTAGTAAATATTGGTGGATTCCTCATGAAAATGTTAAGTTTTCATCTTTGCATGACCTACAGCCATTGTCTCCTTTTGCTGAGGTCACAGGAGCCAAGAAACATCTAAAGCTGTTGGGTGGTCTAGGTCAAGGGTTGACAAACATTTTTTGTAAAGGGCTGGAGGTCATATGGTCTCTATTGCAACTATTCATCTCTGTTGTTACAGTGCAGAAGTAGCCATAAGCTATTTGTAAATGAGCAGGCATGGTTATGTTCCAATAAAATTTCATTTAAAAATAAGGTAGCAGTGCAGATCTGACTAGATTTTGCTGACCTATGCTCTGCGTAATACGGTCTTCCTGTAGTCTGTTTCAGAATCACTTTTTGGCGAGAAAGCACTTCCCACTAAAATTTAGGGAGCTTTTATAAAATCCCTAGAGGAAGTCCCACAAGATGCATAACTTTGTTCCATAAAGCTATGTATGCCTCAGTGTCCACCGACTGTGCTTTGATGGGCTCCAGGTAGAAATTCTTTTCTTTCTTTTCTCTACTTCTAAACCATCTGCTTTGAAACACTCACCTGAACTCACCTCTGTTGATGTTACTCATTTCATAAACTCATTTTCTTTTCCTTATTTATTCTGAATTCTGTGTACTGTCATTCTTGACTGTTGTTTGGTAAATATTTTTAATCTTATGTGTCACTTCTCCACGAAGATATATGCTCTCATTAAAACCTCACTTAAGTAAATGTGGGAAGGAGAAAGGGAGGAAAGATGGAAATGCACAGTAGGTATGGCAACTGAAAAATAAACTTGGAAGAACTGGAGAAAGAGGATGATTTTAGAGGAATTTGTTGTATTGAGATTCATATAAAAATCTGTGGTGACCCATGAAGGAATGTAGTTGGGGACATTCATTTTGTATAAAGGCAAAACTATAAGAAATACTGAAGGCTATTGGACATGGTATCTTTAAAAAATAGACACACATACATATAAGTAAAATTATAGCAAGAATTCAGTTATATTTCTTCATTGGGAAAAATTTTTTACCTTTAACTTAATTTTCTAGGTTATTTTATTAGTTAGGTCTTAGTCTATTAGGTCTTAGACTGCTTTCAACATCTTAGAATAAAGCTCTAACCCTACTTTAAAAAAAATGTATTAGCCCTGGCTGAAGTGGCTAGGTTGGTTGGAGTGTCATCCCATAGACCAAAAGGTCACAGGTTTGATTTCCTGTCAGAGCATATACCCGGGTTGCCAGTTTGATCCCTGGTTTGGGGGTGTACAAAAAGGTAACTGATCAATGTTTCTCTCTCACATCGATGTTTTGTGCCCTCTCTCTCTCCCCCACTTCCTCTCTGAAAGCAATGAAAAAAATGTCCTGAGGTGAAGATTAAAAAAATGTATGAAATCTTTCTCCACCATGAAGATTTTCATTTGAAATGTGATGCTGTTGATCTGAATGTGAGTTCTCTTAGGAGAAATATGGTTAACATCCAGCAGGTGAATAGTTACAAATTTCTAAATCAACATTTAAGTTTCCTGGACACTTAAAACTTAATTTTCTTCTTTAACACCCTTATCAACTCTAGAGCATTTAACAGCCTGATTTCAGGTGTGAATGGGTAGCTTAGACCATATTTTATCTTTTTGCAGCAACTTATTTATATGTCTTGGAAAGGTTGAGCAAGCCCAAGAAAGTTCTCTCAATCAATATTTTAAGTAAAGCAAGCATTTTTTTTGGAAATTCTTCATTGTTTTCTGACTTTTTTCTTTAGTTTTCTGTGTTTAATTCTTTTGAGTAGCCCAATAAATTTTATATATGTATATGTATGTATATATGCATATGCATACACATTCACACACATTCATTCATTCATTCATGCATCTAAATGTGGATCAAACAGTAGACACTTTTTTACTTTTTTTCCTCACATGAGAGAAGTAGAGTGTGGATATTTTCTAATCCCACCTGATTTATTCAGTCTCAAACAGAAAGAGGGTTTTTTGAGGTTGTAAAAGGAAAAGAAAGCTAATACTATTTTTTTGTTGTTGTTACTGTGACATGATCACGTTGGCAAAAATACTAAAACCTAAGGTATAAGAGGGTCAAATCAGATGATCTGATATAGAGTACAGTTTTTCGGTTGGACTTTCTAAATGGAGAAGACAGTCCAGACCAGTGGCTCTGGTGATCCTGCTCAATTAAGAACAATTGGAGTAAGCAGTGTTTAAGAATTCCTGTTGGTACTAACATTCTGAGACATTCTGCTCCCAAGTAGTTACAGTCCTTCCTTTACCATCTCATACTCTTTTATGCATTTTACCATCTATATTTCTCTCATTCCTTCATATATTTCACCATTCAGAGAATGGCTTCCAGTAGGTAAGGGCTGTGTATTCTTGCTGTTTGAAACCTCATTAATACCCAGAGTAGTGCAGGCCATGGAATAAGAGCTTGGTAACTTCACTGGAGCCAGCTTGAAATTATCCTTCCTCTCATGAGCTGGGTACTAATAGACAGATGCAGGGCCCTTTGGGCACCTCAGATGCCCACTGCCGATTTGGAGTCAGATCCACTTGCTTGTTGACAAATGCAATTAATAGACAAGAGACTATCTTTCTAACTCAATCCAAGTGGTGGTTGTTGGGGCATGATTCTTCGGGGAGGGCTTTATTCTATTGGGGTGATCTATCTCATGGGCTGGCATGGACACCCTCTGAGCCTGTCCTCCGCTCTCCAGGCCTGTCCTTTGGAAGGTATTGAAGGAGGGGGCTGAGAAGGCTTTGTTTTACTTGCACATATTGGCAAAGTTGCCATGAGGAGTGGGATTCTAGAAGACACATACAGCCAAAATCACATCTTGTCAAAATTATCTTAGAAAATACAGAAGTCACCTACAACAATGGCAAGATGCTCACACTCAGAGAGAAATAGGAATCAAGAGCAGTGGTGGGAATGAAATGTGAGCCCATCCAGTTTCACATCTACCATATGATACCTGATTGATGAGTGGAAGAGCAGGCCCATTCTGTAGTAATTCTAAATTTTTTATTCATCTAATTTTTTATTTCTAATTTGACAAGCATTCTCACACTTGCACTTGGATGGTATAAATGTGTACATTACCAGTTCTGTTTTGTGGTCCATAAGCAGCTCCACTTTGTTCATCCTGGAATCTGGGCTTCATTTAACCCTGAGAAACTTGAGGATTTCACAGTAAGACTTTTGAACCCAGAGATCCTGGGGCATTTGGGTTTCTACAAAGCAATGTAGTCACCGTTTTTTTTCCTCTTGCTAAACTATTTTCCTGGCCCTTCATTCACGAAGCATATGTTCTGCCTGCCTTCTAGCTGTTACCCGGAGCCTAATACTAGGGACTCTATGTAAATTTATGTGACATTTTCACTAGAAAATTGCTTAAAAAATGAATGATATTTCTACGGTTTACTGTTTTTCACTTTAAGTATGTTTTCTGACAATATGTCTTCTATTAATCATTTAAGCAATAGTAGGAACCTTAAAGGAGTGTATTCAGAAGCAAGAACCCATGGTTCATTTAGTGCTGTCTAAAAAATTCCTTATTGATTGGCATCCCCTGTGGTTATGTGATGTAATATTTATAATATGTCACCCAGCCATACATCAAAACAAGTATGTCTGTTGTTTCATTTCCGTGGGAGATGTTGATTTCAGAGAGGTCTGCCCAGTTTTAGGTCATGCTGTGGCCAACCACTGGACCAGAAATGGGAAGTGACTAGATTCATAGAGTTATTGGAAATGGCTTTATAGATGCTTTGGTGTCTGCAGATTCCGTTCCCCCTCCCTCTGCACCACCCTTTTTACTTCCTAACTTACCCCCTGTTCACTGGGTTAGATTTTCTTGGCACACATCCCCACAGTAAAATGGGCTCATTAAATCTGTATGTAAGCATGAACACATTACCAAGTTGTTGAACAGTGCCCTGGTCCTGCTGGGGCAGGAGCAAAACCATGCCTGGAGTTTCTTTTTGCCATTCATCATAGATCATGGCTGAGAAATGTCCATTGCCATGTTATTGTAGGAGCTTAAACATGCTTTGCTGTGTGTATACACTGTGCTATTTTGGGATGAATGTTGAATGGAGGTGAATGTGATAACCAACAGCCTTCAGGATTTGAGCAGGAAGAGAGTGGTGAGGCAGAGCTTGGCTTGGGAGACCACCATCATACCAAGAAACCACTTTGGGCCTCCCGTGGACTTCCACACTGGCCAAAAAATAAATCAAGGATTGAAACTTGGGTGTCCAGAATGGTCTGTTTCTTGTCTTCCTTTGCAATTATTTTCTTTCTTCTTACTACAGGAAATAGAGTAGAATGAAAGTCAACAGTACACGAGTGCTAGACTTCAGTTGTCCAGTAAGGGAACTGGGCTCATGCATGGTTTCTTAGCTCTACTTCTGTCACTAATCCCTATGTCATTCATTCTTTCCTGCCACTGCAATCTTTGGTCAGCCTCTCCTTCCTTCTTCCTCCTCAGTAGGTCCCTCTGTATTTCTTACAACATTAAATTATTTAAAACGTGACACCCTTCCTTTGTTCCCTCTAAGGGAGCAGCCCAGGGGCCTGCCCAGTGTCTGCAGCACTCAGCCAAAGGGAGGGCGGGAGGGACCCTTTGCTGTCTGTTGGCCGTCCTGGGCTACCACCATTTCCCAGCCGAATAGGAGCTGTAAAACTTGTGGCTTACATAACCCAGCCAGCATTCTCCAGCTAATCTACAGTCTGGGCTTTGAAGATCACAAGAAAGCAAAGGTCACGACCCAGAGATCAAAGTGACAGAAGCCCACAGAGTAATTGCTGGTTACCCTCTGTAGAGGGCCTTGGTCTGTCCTGTGGGTGCATTGTTTGCACGGAGACTTCAAACATACTGCCTAAATCAGCTGGCCTTTGCCAGTTGTCAGGCATTCATTAATGCTGTAGGTGAGCTCACCTCGGCTCATTAGAGTGAGATCATTGTCATCTCTGAGCATCTGGAGTTATTCATTACTCTTTGGTCTTTATTGACTTTTTCTCACAGTCCTCTTTTACCTGGAAGTGTGAGGGGGCAGTTACATAAGGAAATTGGATTAATAAGCAAGGAGAACATGGATGTGTTTATTGTAAATTAACTTTGAGGCACATAGAATTCAAGCAAGCTAAAGCTTAAAAGGGGCTTAGGCACCATTTAGCTGATTTTATTCCTTATACAAATGGAGAAACTGAGGCTCAGGAAGGTGGTAGAGATTGAACAAAGATTGCACAGCAGGGCAATCACAGTCTGGGTTCTTTCCTTTGACCTGTTAGTTGTTAGTCCCAAAGCTTTTTGTTAGGATGACCTCCCCTTATTGAAATCTTCTTCCCCATACTTTAAAGCTTTGTCTCTTAAGTGTACTGTGTTTAAGCATATACTAACTTTTTTGAAATTAATCACGTAACCAGTGTATTACCAAACAGGGTTGATATAATCCAGTCAAGAGCAAAGAAGCTTGATATTTTGTTGACGTGTTCACTCTATTCTTTTAAGCTTTGTGAAGGATTGAAAACAGTTTATGGGTCACCTGTTACTGCTTTCAGGGCCCCCAGAAAGGCATCAGTAGCTTATGCCGTCTCCTCTCTGACCCCATGCATAGGAGCAAGTAGGCAGCAAGAACTAATGGGAAAAGGCATAGAATACCATAAATGGAAGGAAGTAGGACAAAACTCACGTGACCCCATATCCAGTTCCCTCAGAATCTAGACACTTCATATGTATTGAGTAAAGTCTCCTCAGAAACAGAAACATGGCAGCCAACCCCAGGAGCAGACAATGGAGATCTGCGGTTGTGTGGTGTTACGAGGAAGCAGTTCTAAGCAGGAGGGGAGAGTGTTCGTTCTCCTCTCCCCTTGAAGTCTAGTTGGAAAATGCCAGAGCCTTGGGATTTGGTCAGAGAAAATTTATTTTGGAGCAACAAACAAACAAAGCCTTCCTGCTGTCCCTTTTTCCCCCTACCAGGTTTAAGTGTCTCCTTGGAGGAGTCCTTTAAGAAAATGGAGCATTCTATGTGAAAAGAGAAAGAACCCAAAAAGCTCTGTGTGGGGGTCTCACCTTTAGAGAATCCGTTTGCAGAGACAACTAGGTCTTTAAACACCTTCCTTCCCAGGACCTCTCTCCATAACCTCCCCTTCCACCCCACAGCCAGGAGTGCCCTGACTCCCATCCCCCGACCCTGAGACTGTCACCCAGCCGCCTTGGGAAGGTCAGAAAAATTGGAGTTACCCTCTGGAGCTGGGGACTGGAGACTTAGAACTTAGATGGATCTCTTTTCATTAAGCAGTGTCCTGGCTTAACAAGCAGTTTTATAAATCTGAAGCTGTCTCCGGGTGTCACAGGATTTATAGACGGGGGGTTTCTGCCATAAAGTGGTTTATGATGGCTGCCTTCTGTGTTATTAGTAGCTGTCTCTTCCTTCAACCATTGCTGTTTGATAATAGCCTTAAAACACCCAGAATTACTTACCTGCAAGCCCCATTCCCGATAGCCCCTGTTGACAGTCTGAATAAGTTTACTGCCCTTTTGTTGTACTTTACCTTCAAAACAAACTGATTGAACCATCAATAGCTCGTGGAAGCTGACAGAGGCATGTCATGTGGACTAGCCCTTGTGATTGCAGGTTATCTAGGGGAGTTAACCTTCCCCGCATTGTTAACTGAAATGTTTTATGTACTATGCAACTTTAGGATACGGCTGTGATAACCTCAGTAACTAAGTAATACATCACGGTAAAGAGATTTTGGTGTAACAAATAACCCTGGATTAAATTTACAAGGGTTGAATTGATATTGTAAAAACCTTCATTCTGTGGCTTCAGGAATCCTCTCTTGTATTTTTATGGCAAGCTTGTATTACACTCAGGATTGAAGCTGCAGCTTTTGACACCCTGACATGACCTAGAACAAAGGGAAATAGATCTCCCGAGACTGGGATGGGACAGGCAGGCAGAAAGCCCACTGACTTATCACTTGGCAGTTACATTAGGGACCCATTCCAAACCACCAAGGGGCAGGAAGGTTTGGTAGATGTGCCTGCTGTCTGTGTTCTGTGTACCACAGACACAGGGCAGGGCAGACTGTTGACAGAATTGGGAAGGGGGCTCTTCACTGGCTTATAGTCCTCATGATCCAAAATGAGTATTTTTCATGGTGTTACTTTCACTTAGATAGTGGTCCTTAGCAGGACCAGTGGCATCAGCCTCACCTGGGAACTTAATATAAATGTAAATTCCTGGCCCCACTGCAGATGTACTGAATCAGGAACTCTGGCAGTGGTGGGGGTGGGGGGCTGCCCTCTGTGTTTCAATAAACCCTCTAGGGGATGCGGACACCCACTCAAGTTTGAGACCACTGTACTAGTATCAAAGCTCCCTGAGAGCAGAAACCTTATCTGATGTGTGCATCATCTTGTTCTCAGCACCTGGCACGGTTCCTGGCAGGTGGCGGCTGCTCAATAATTGTTTGTTGGGTGAATAAATGTATGAGTACATGAAAGACGACATCTCTAAGGGAGGAACTTTGGACCCTGGGCTGAGTCTCAGACCAAACATTTGGGGAAGGCTTTCCCAGTGTCCCTCAAATGTCTCTGAGCAGCAACCACCTGGAAACTCCAGGCTGGCCGCCAGGATGGGAGTCAAGTCACCCCTAGTGTCAGGGTGACTGACAGCCTATTTCATGGGCTATTTCTTTGATTGTATAAGAAGAGTGCTCTGAACGCAGAAGCTCTTTGTCATCTAAAATTTTTAACTAGCTTAAAAGCCAGCACCTCTCTCTCTCTCTTTCCTTTGATTTCAGGGCTGTGATCCAAAGTGGGGTGAAATGACAATGTGCTGTCTGTTGTCATCATGGTTCCTGCCAGCCCCATGAAGACATCTTTCATTCCATCATTAAACATTGGCTGATTTTGTAATACTGCTGTTTTCTTCACCTGAATATTCATCTTTTCTCACCCTACACTTAGTGGGTGTCTTTCCTCCTTGGAGCGTCACTCCTGACATATTGTTTCTGTCTGCACACGTCTTTATTTGAAAGAATCTGTTGTCATCAAGACTTTGCCGCTACAAGCAGAAGGCGGAAGTTTTCTCTGACATTGACTGAGGCCACTGGGAGTTCTACTAGAGGATAGAAAGGTCATTTGGGCTCTTTGTGGAAATTCTCTGATTTGGGGTAAGGTTAGGAGTCATTTGGAGGGGAAAGGGAGAGGCTCAGGGAGAAAAAGGAAAAAAAGGTAATAGATTGAAGCCAAGGAGAAAGCAGGGAGGACCTTGGATGTTGGGGTGTACAGCTCTGGGGAGGAAAAGTATACCGTCAAAGAATTTTAGAGTATTTTGACTTTAAAAAATGACAAACATAAAGGTTATAACCAGAGGCCTCTAAGTTGTTGTGTCTGGCATTTGAGTGATCAGCGAAGTCTTTCACTGGACAAGCATATGCAGGCCACGTGGTGATGTGAGGCTGCCTTGCAGCTGTGAGGGCTGGCCTGGGAACCCAGGGCTCCCCTGAGAGTGGAGGCACACTGCTTGCCCCAAGTAACATTTGCATGGAGAAAAAGCTAATGCTTGGGGTTGCTTTAACGTTTGTTTCCCTGAAGCCTACTTGAAATTTCCTGCTCCTTCTCATCCTCCAGCAACTATTAGTTTCTAGTTACTCAGTGAGCAATATCAGGTCCCTTTCTCTGTGCTCTCAAAACTACTGCATAACCTCAATATTGGCACTTAGCTATGCTGATTTCTAATTTATCTGTGTGAGTCTATCATCCACATTACACGGAAAGCCAGTTTAAGGGTAGTGACCATGCTATAATCACCTCTGTAGGCATACCTAGGGCTTTGCACATAGTAGGTGCTCAAGAAATATTGAGGCAACTGAACTGGCTTAGAAATGAGGTGGTATTTTCTTGTGCTAAGCCTAATGAAGATGACACAAGGATGGGCAAAAAAAAAAATCATTCCTGTCTTTAAGAAGTTTATAGTTTAGGTGAGGACATCCACTGAACTACATTCCTGAATATCAGACAAACTGCATGGTGGTCACCCCAACCTCCCTGAGCAGTCTCTGCTTGTTCTCTTCCAGATGCTTTGTTCTGTACAAGCTGCCGAATTTAAAGTTTTTGGATGCCCGGAAAGTAACCAAGCAAGAACGAGAGGAAGCTTTGGTCAGAGGGGCATTCATGAAGGTGGTTAAGCCCAAGGTAAGCTGCCTACTTCCTGGTCTTCCCAAGGAATTTATGCTTCACCTTGCTGGTTACTCTTTGAGTATGGAGGATGTGCTCCTATGTGTGTGGAATGCTGGAGGGATCTCACACCGCGTTTCATCCTTGGGTACACTGTTAGCCAAACAAGAAATAGGCTGGGTGTAAATGGGGTCTTTCCAGACTCAGAGGACCTTATTTGTAAGGCGATTTCACGCAGGTGGCCCTTTACTGATAAAGCAGCACCATGCCTACCCTAATGGTGACTTTCTGGGGGTTGGGTGAGATTTCAGGCCTCTTTCTAGAAGATAGTTCATTTATAAGATAGAGCTGAGAAAGGAGAGAGCAAAGCACTGGTCCCTTTCTCTTTCTCAGGCAGCTAGGATTCCTCTAGCTCCTCACAGGGTGCTCTTTCCTGGGACTAAAGGGAAGCCACGGGGGAGTGATTTTTCTTGGGTCCACAGGTGAGAACCCAACAGCTCTTGGAGATCTCGGTCGTGGGAAGGTGATTTTTCTGATGTGTGCTGGAACTGGTACATGCTCCCTCCGTGTAGCTCTCTAGAGTTCGTGGGAATGACGTTTACTGACCGTCCAGCTGAGTCTACATTAAGGCTGTGGAAGCGACCACGGTATCACTGTAACAACAGCCCTGATGAGGCAGGGGATGCTTGGCTTTCAGACACAAGGACATTTTTAAGGATATGAACAACTATCTTATTAGGAGGAATTGGGGTCCTTCGATGAAGCCCAAGGCTGGGGAATGGACTTTGTGACCCTTGATGCCCCCTTTGGAGATCCGTCCCTGCCTGGGGCTCTGTGGAGCAACATGGCAATTTCCTTTGGGATCCTAGGTTGTGTGTTGAAAACACTGGTCCAGAAATCCTAGAGGTCTAGGTTTTCCTCACTTATTGACTTACAGTGCTCTGCACATGCATTGGAAATGATTAAGAGGGAAAGAGAAAAAAACCAAACAGAACCACTACAGAAAAAAGAAACCTCTTCCATCAAGTTGCTCAGCGGGCAGCAGACCTCAGGCTACTTTCTTTCCCTGAGTCCATGAGGTGCAACTTATTTTCCATTATGCTGAATACAATTGCTGGCAGTTGTGGAAATATACAATATGGAGGGTATAATTCTGGCAGAAAAATGTATGGTTACCTGTTTCAGCATGTGGAAAATTAATTGAGTGATGTCATTTCATAGCTATTAAAGTGTTAACAGTTTTCCTTATCGAGGCCAGATTGGATGTATTGTCATGACTGCCTTTAGTTATTTCAGCTTTTGTAATTTTGTCCAAATGAAATAATTTGCTTCTTGGCCTCATTTTTATTTTTTTTTTAAGATTCCAGAGACAGCTGCATCACCAAACCAAAGTACAACAAACGAGCTGTTTTTAATACCTTGGGTTCCTGCCCATCCTGCATTTCTCACCTTCCCATATATAGGCACTTTTCAGACTACATCAGTATTTCTTCTGCTGTCATTGCCTTTGACATAGGCAGCTCTGTGCTGTCCCTGGAAATCTGAAGGGGTACCAAGTACTGTATTGGAGTGGGGTACTTTATATGTACCTACCACTGTTCTAAGGTTCCTTCTACATAGATCTGTGAGTCTTCACATGACCCTGTAATGTAGAAACAAGGAGCATTGGCTTATTCGACAGATGAGGTAACTCAGGTCTAGAGATGTTAATTGGGCCATCTCGGTCACCAGGCTTGTAGGTGCTGGAGCTTTACCTGTGTGTCTGACCACAGAGCCATTGAGCTAAACCTTTTCCCCATGCATCTCTCTCTTCAAACAAAACCTCATAGGACAGTCTAAATAAAGGCAACAGGAGAAAGAAGGACTGTTGGGTTGGAGCAGAGGTGGTGGTGGAGGAAGACGTGTTGGGGCTCTGAAACCCTCCCTGTCTTTGAAAGCAAATGGGAATGGCTCCTTCAAGCCTGGTAATAGCTGGTTCTCTGTGTCATTAGCAACTTCAGCAGACATGCTCTTCAAAGCTCCAAGTTACTTTCTAATCAATGGCAGAAGTAGCTCATGTTTGTGTGACTGGCTCTAACATCTTTAGTAACTGATTAAGCTTAAAAAATAACCATTAATTATTTGAGGAGAAACAGAAGTACTCTGACAAAGAGTGGGGACCTTAGGTTGTTATCTTTTTGTAGAGTCCCATGATTTCCAAACTGGAATGAACTTCAGTAATCATCTTGTCTGAGATGTCATTTAATGGGGAAAGGGACTGGGAGAAGATGGCATTTTCTTAAGCCCTAGCATCCTGTGAGGCAGACTGGGACCAGAACCCAGGAGTCTGGGCTTTCAGTGAAACATCCTGCTTTTGCCATGATCCTTCAAGTACACCAGAGGATTCCTCTGTGCTCCTGGTCTCATATCAAACTGTATGCCTCTCATGAATGGCAGGTAATTCCCTTTTGTCTGTTTGCAGAGATATCACTGGTACTTTTCTTACAGATAGAAAGAGGCTAAATGAGCTCCTTGCTGAATTAATAAATAGATGTTTAAAAAGGTTGGTTCTCGCCTGCTCACAGTATATACAGACATATGTTTGTTCCTATGCAGGTGTGTATATATGCTTTCCATCTCTGTGTATATATACATATATATGTTCTGGAGGTTTGTGTATGCCTGGATTCAGCTCCTAAGTGGAGAGCAATTTCCTCCCTGTGAATTGCCGACGCTGTGCTGAGCACACTGGGTGAAGACCTATTTTTCATAACAGCGTCAGAATCTCAAGTTGGCTTCTGTCCTTTCCAAGGCAGCAGCGGCCTGTTGTGCTTATTCAGCAGAAGGCTCTGATGGATGATCAAGGGGGCCATGATTTGGGGAGCTGTTTTCATTTTATTCCTGACATAAAGTATTTGGGAGAATGGAAAATGCCTCTCCAATCACAGCCTTTGCCTTGGAGGTAGGGAACGGGCAGTGTGGGTGTTCTTGGCTGGTGCAAATGCAAAATCATCCAGGATCTAATAAACCCTATTTCCCAGAGGTTTGATTTGGTACCTGGCAGCCCTGGCACTTGAGCACAAGTTCTCTCTCGCTTTCTCTCATGATGACACAGTTGCTGCCCTTTGGTTTTTGCTGTTTAAAAGCTTCCTTCGGTCTGATGTCTGCTTGTCCTACAGAAAGATGCTGTCATTCATTAGAGAGTGAGTGATGCCTATGGCTACAATGGCTTCTTCTAGACTTGTGTGTGTGTGTGTGTGTGTGTGTGTGTGTGTGTGTGTGTGTGGTTTGTGGATTGTTAGTGGACTTACAACAGCTAGGCTTTGCTCATTTCCCAGAATTATGAAGAAAATATATATCTTTGTCAAATATTGGCCATTGAATCATGCCATTGTCCATTCAGAGAGTACCAAGCTGGAAGCAGAGAAGGCTAAGCCCCCCACCCCCTGGCAAAGAAAGGCTTCTGTAATGACCAGACCATGACCCCCTTCGCCCCACCAGGAAACATAGATCAAAGCAGTGCAGAGGACTGTCCAGGAGGGCGTGCGTGGCAGACACACCAGCCCTGCACATCAGAGAGACAGTTCAAGAATCCGACAGTCAGAATTGCTTAATTATGTCCTGGCTTTGTAATTATTCATCCCTGTTCTGGCAAAGAGCACAGTTGTCGTTTCTTTGACATAATTATTTAAAGCTGAGCCCTCTTGTTTACAGGCATGTATATAAAGTTGGCTACCAAGTATTTAATAGAAGCAATCAGGAGAGTAACTACAGGGGCAGCTAGGCTGAGAATTACAGCCTGTATTAGAAAGTGTTTTAACATGTGTATTTTTGCTCGTAATAATGGCCACTCTCTTAAAGGTTAGATATGGAAATAGGTGTGTTCATGAGTGCAGATAGGTACTTGAAAATATGTCAGCAAGTCTTTATACAAACATGCTTGGGTTTCCTATCATGTATAGCTTGTGTATTTGTATAGTTTTTCATAGTTGGCTTATTTGTTTGTGTGCATCTTTGGATCTTTGGAGGAGAGAGATATAGTGTGTATGTTTATAAGTGAGAGAAAGGGAGGGAGGGAGGAAAATGTGATGCATTAAAGGAATAAACTTCTGAATACCTGTACCTTCCACAAGTCTTTTCTATTCTCCTCCTTAAAGTAAAAGTTGAAAGTTATCTGGGTCCAAGGATCGCCTGCTTCTATGACTACACTACACAGTCCTAATCTTGTCACTTGGAGATGGACCCTAACTTCCCTGGTTAACTTATTTTTTTCCATCTATATGCATGTTTTGGAAGCAATGGGAAGGCAGGTGTCATCTGGTGGGCTGTCAGCTCCATGAAGGCAGGAACTTTGTTTTTCCACTTTCAAATCTCCAGTGCCTGGCCTATGGCAGAGGCTCAGCCAATATTTCTCAAAAGAATAAACGATGGCCCTGGCTGGTATGGCTCAGTTGGTTGGGCATCACCCACAGGGTGAAGGGTCACCAGTGTGATTTCTGGTCAGGGCATGTGCCTGAGTTGTGAGTTCAGTTCCTGGTCACGGGCATATGCAAGAGGCAACCGATTGATGTTTCTCTCTCAGATCAACATTTCTTTCTCAGATCGACATTTCTCTCCCTCTCTTTTCCCCTCCCTTCTCCTCTCTCTAAAAATAAATAAATAAAATCTTTTAAATGTATATATTAAAAAAAAAGAATAAACCATGAACAGAACATACTGGAAGATCCATCACAAAAGATGATCCATTTATTTTATTGCCTAAATATTGTCCTCTGGAAAAGCCGAAAGGGACCTCTGTCTTAAGGAGTTATAATAATTTGAATCTGTGTGTTGGCAGAAAAGAGAAATTCTGAGATATTTGTTTTTCGAAAGGATTTACCTGTTATTTGTTATGATGGTAAAGCTGAGGCTGCTGTGATCCCCGGGCCTGGGCTTCTTCATCAGGTACTTTGCTGGGGGAGGTGAGAGCACAGTCTGGGCTGCACACTCCCCATGATGGTTCACCTGGTTCTCTGAGTCCTTCTCTCAGAATCTACCTG